CTACTGTAATTCATTTCTCTCCCTTGATTTTTTTTCCCTTTCCCCTCACATCCTCTTATATGTAATTTTGTATAACAATGAGGGTCACCTTCCATTTCCATGCAATTTCCCGACAGGTCTTGCTAAGTTGCTGAAGTTGGCCTTGAACTTGCAGCTTCAGCCTCTCGAGTTGCTGGGATTATAGGCTTGTGCCACTGCTACTGACTCCTGTAATTTTTAAATAACTACTTTATTGAGATATACTTCACATAACATAAGGTTCACCTTTTAAAGTGTTCAGTAGTCTTTATCATATTTACAAAGTTGTACAAATACTTCCACTGTTTAATTCATAACATTTTCATTATACCACACAGAAATTTCAGACTCTTTGGGTTGCAAGTGCCCAATCCTTTACTTACCTTTTCCCCATCCTCAGGAAAGTATGGTCTAACTTTTGTCTCTATGGATTTGCCTATTGTGAACATTTCATATAAATAGAATCATATATTCTGTGGCCTTTTGTGTCTGCCTTCTTTCATTCAAATAATGTTTTCAAGGTTTGTCACCCCGTAGCATGTATTAGTTCGTCATTTCTTTTTTATAGCTGATTGATATTCCACTGGATGGATATATCATATGTTGTTTATCCATATATCAATTAATATACATTTTGGTTCTTAATACTTTTTCATTATTATGAATAATAATGCTTGCCGCAGCCCGGCTGGCTGGGCAAAATAACCGTGGGGTGACGAACAACTTGTGTATGTTGATACAGCAGGAGTGGAAGCCGTTTATTATAGGACAACAGAGGTATTTATACATTCCATACAGCTTATCTAATTAACATAAACTAGATACAGCAGTCAACCAATCAGGAATCTCCACACTTAATGGCTCACTGGCATTACTTCACAAACCACTCCCCCTGGCAAAATACCAGGCGCCATCCTGACTTGTTTACAGACCTTAACATTAACCACTCCCTCTGGCAAAATGTCAGGCGCCATCCAGACTTGTTTACAGACCCTAACATTTGCCAGGCGCCATCCTGACTTGTTTACAGACTCTAACATTTCTCTGGCAAAATCCCAGGTGCCATCCTGACTTGTTTACAGACCTTAACATTAACCACTCCCTCTGGCAAAATGCCAGGTGCCATCCAGACTTGTTTACAGACCCTAACATTTGCCAGGTGCCATTCTGACTTGTTTACAGACTCTAACAAATACTATGAATATTTCTGTAAAAATTCTTATGTGAGTATGTGTTTCGATTCTCTTAGATATATATCTAGTGAAATTGCTGAGTCATATGATAGAGAACTTTTTGAAGAACCACCAAATGTTATTAAAGTGGTTGTATTATTTAACATTCTCCTCATCCATTTATAAAGGCTATGGTTTCTCAATATCCTTACAGACACACTAACAATAACTGTTGTCCCTCATTTTGATTATAGTCATATTAGTGGGTGTGAAATGGAATCTTATTATAGTTCTGATTTGCATTTACCCAAAAACTAAGGATGTAGAGCATCTTTCATATATTTTGTGGCCATTCATATATGGTTTTTGGAGAAATTTTACTTCATATTCTTTTCCCATTTTTAATTGAGTTGCCTCTTTATTGAAATTTAAGAGTTCTTTATATATATATTCCTGGTTTACAAAGAAAACTAAACGAAATTTTCTAATCTCTTTTGACTATATTTAGTATCTATTTAAATATTGTGTAACTTTTCACTGCTTTAAATTTGGAGTAGGGAGGAATTTTAGTCTAAAATAGTAAAACTCTAGAATTATAAAATTGATCTCTGAAGAAACTGCTTTTTATTATCTATTTCTAGGTCCTGGTAAAGTGTTGCTAGGTAGTAAAATATTTTTGGATTCCTTTTATGAGAGAAAAGCATATAATAAATAACAATAATATATTTGTAATTAGAATTGTATTTAAATTCAACTGGATGGGATTATGACAGTGCTTTAAGAACAATTGAAAATAGTTTGATTTCTAACTGAAACATATCTCCCACCACTTAGTGCTGAGAGCCATTAGCCAAGTTGGTATGACAATTTCCTTGCCAGCGTACCCCATGTTGCTTAGAGGAAGGACTCGTGGAAATGGACTTGCCTTGGACATTTGCAGTGACATTGCATGTATATTTGAGAAAGGTGACCCTGCTCAAGGACCAGGGTGGATCCGGGTTTAGGGAGGATCCTACTGGATTAGGGCGGTTCCAGGTTTAAAGTGTACCCTGCTGGGAATAGGGGGTATCCTGCTGCCTCAGGCATGCCCGCTCCTTGAGTTCCTGTTGAGTTCTTGTGGGATTCAGAGAGTATTTTTTGGGATACAGAGCCGAGTGGAGGTGTGGATTTTGCCCAGAACGTGAATTTCCCCAGAACGTGTGTAGAGTACCCGTGTGAGTTCGGGAATAAAGAGTTGCTGTTTGAATCTACAAGGTGTGTGGTGGCTCGTGATTTTGTGCCCAGCCAGACTGCGGCAACTTTGGTTTACACTGATAGTTTTGTTTAAGCCTTTTTTCCCCTCCCATAGATAATGCTTGGGTATACTTTTAGTCTAACTTCTGTCATAAGTTATCTTACTAATCAAACTTTTGCTATGTTTGATATGTGTCCTTTTTAAAACTTAAAGTCTATTTTGTCTGATATAAATATACCTACCTCTGTTCTTTGGGTTACTATTTGTATTGAATGTCTTTTTCTTAGTAGTATTTTTTATTGGTGAATTATAATTGAATGTAATAATGGGCTTTGTCTTCACATTTACGTACATGCACATAGCATAATTTGGTCAATTACATTCCTGAGTACCTCTTCTTTCCCTCCCACCTCTGGATCCCCTTCCTCTACTCTACTGGCCTCCCTGCTATTTTCATGAAACCCCTCCTGCCGTTTTGATCTTTTTACTTTCAACTTACTTTTGACTGTAGATTAAAAGTGAGTCTCTTGTAGATAGAATTCAATTGAATCATTAAAAAGAATCTGTCTGCCAGTCTATACCTTTTGTTAGGAGAGTTTAGTTCCTTTACATTTAGAGTAATTGAAAAAGGAGAATTATTTTCACTATTTTGTTCTTTTCCCTGTATGATTTGTAGCTTTTGGCCTCTTATTTCCTTTATCACTGCCTTCTTTGCATTTAGTTGATTTATTGTAGTCATATGTTTTTGTTTCCTTCTCATTTCCTCTTGTGTATATTCTTTGTGGTTACCATGAGGATTACATATATCACCTACACTTATAATCATCTAATTTGAATTGATACCATGTTACCTTGAATTGCATACAGAACTTATGCCTTCCCAATTCTTCCCCATTTGATGCCATGGATATCATAGATACTCACTAATAGAGATTTATAATTAATTTAATGCTTTAGTCTTTTAAGACCCATGTAAAACAAAAGGACTTATGAGCCAGAATCATAATAATAATTGTTTTCGATTCCTCATGTATTCATTTGTACCAGAGGTCTTTCCATCTTCAACTGGCTTCAAGTTACTGTCTAACATCCCTTTATTTCAACATGAAGGACTCCCTTTAGCATTTCTTTTAGATCATGTCTACTGGTAATAAGCTCCTTTAGCTTTTGTTTATCTAGCAATGTCTTAATTTCTCTTTTAGTTTTGAAGAACAGTTTTACTAGATACAGAAGTCCCAGTTTAAAATTTTCTTTTTGTTTTTAAAGTTGGATGCAAAGGCTCATACCTATAATTTCAATTACTCAGGGTGCAACAGCATATATCTATAATTTCAGCTACTCAGAGTGTAGCAGGAGGATTGTAAGTTTGAGGCCAGCCTGGGCAACTTAGCAAGACCCTTTCTCAAAATATAATTTTTAAAAAGGGTTGATGGTGTAGCTCAGAGGTAGCTATAGCTCTGGAATCACGAACACATGGAATCACTGAACTCAATCCTCAGTACCACACACAACTTAAAAAAAAAATTCAGCACTTTAAATATACCATGCCACTGCCTTCTGACCTCTAAGATTTTGTTGAGAAATAAGTTTATAATACCATGACATATCCCTTGTTTATGAGTTGCTTCTCTCTTGCTGCTTTTGAAATATTGTTTTATCTTTCTACTGTCTAGTTGTGGGTCTTTTTAGTTAGGTTTATCTTAATTGGGATTTTTTGGGATTCTTGGACTTGTAGATTCATGTATTTCATCAAATGGGAAGTTTGCCCATTATTTCTTTGAATAATCTTTCTGACATTTCCTTTCTCTCTTCTCCTTCAGAGACTCTCAATTGTATAATTGGCCTGCTTGATCATGTCTCACAAGTCTCTCAGGTTCTGTTAACTTTTCCTCGTTCTTTTTTTCTTTTTGCTATTCAGATTTACTTATTTCAATTGTCTTATTTCCAAGTTTGCTGATTTCTTCTTGTGCCTGCTCAAATTTACTCTTGCATCACTCTACCAAATTTTAAAATTTTCAGTTATTGAAGTTTTTAGTTAGGTTTATCTTACTTGGGATTTTTTGGGATTCTTGGACTTGTAGATTCATGTATTTCATCAAATGGGAAGTTTGCCCATTATTTCTTTGAATAATCTTTCTGACATTTTCTTTCTCTCTTCTCCTTCAGAGACTCTCAATTATATAATTGGCCTGCTTGATCATGGTAATAAAAGACCCAAGCAGACTCTAAACTTTCACCTTGGATGGATCCCAAAACTCAGAGCAAGCCTAGCTAATCTGTGAAAGACTGTCCCAGTAGAGTCAGTATACAAACACTAGGAGAGGTGGCTATTGTTTCAAATATCAGAATCTTACTCAGCTTCTCTTTAGAACCTTATGTCATCTATTTTCATGTTTCCCTACATAATTTCTTGCCCCAGGCTTCTACAGGTGTGAAGTCTTTCTATAGCTTTCATGAGTTGTTCCTGACACTTTTCCAACCTGAGATTCAAATGAGGCAAAACAGGAGGCCGGCCCTTTCTTCTTCAGACAGGTTAGAATGTTGTAAATAAGCTCTATTCTGTTCCCTCCAGTTGAAGGAAGGGAATTAGGAACTGGGTTGCCGGCTCCTTTCTACCAAGACCACTGACACAACACAAACAATGTGGAGCAAGGCAAATAAGACTGCCATAAAACTTTTTTTCTACCTTTCTGAAGGTGACATTTTCTTAATTGGATATTCTAGATTGGTTAGTATAAACCTCAAATAGATTCCAGAGTTCCTGCAAGCTTAGTCTACTCAGTTTCTGTCCATTTTTGTTTTTCTTTTTTTTCAATGTTTCCATGAAGGAACAAAAACTTGGAGTTTCCTAGTCTACCATTTTGCTTATGTGACTCAATACACACCAGTTCCTAATGAACTATTTTGAGAGCCATTTTAATCACAGGAAAAAATTAATAACATATCCTTGGTGATAGAGTTGATTAGTTGAATGGTTATATAACAGGAATTTGTGTTTACTCTGACTAAAAACAGTTTAATTCAATGAATATAGGCAGGAACTTTGGCATAGATATAAATGAGTGTTATCTTAGTTGTTACTAGAAATTTATTTACCTTTTCTAAATCTCCTCTGTAAAATGGCCATTTTTGTTATGTGGTTGAGAGGAATTGACAAAATGATTCACCTGCAAGAATACTTATGAAGTGTTCCATAAATACCAGTAATCTTTTGGAAATACTTAATATGTCTATTGCTTATAGCTCCACTTATAGAGTGGCCATATAGTTTGGTCACCTTTTAGTTCAGGCATAAAAAATACATATTATTTTTTGAGTAGTCACTAAAAGATTTCTGAATATTTTAATGCAGTCAGTGTTTTAATGATATGGCCCTAACTAGGGATTTTGCTTTTCCAAATCCACAATGGTACTATTAAATTCTAGCTAGTGAGAGTGTGATGAGATAGATATTCATACATTGTTGATGGAAACTGATATTGATGTAGCCTTTTCTAGGAACAAAATTGCACTGTGTGGCTGTTAACCTAAATATCTGTATTTCCTTTTGAAAAACCAGCCAATCGATTCTAAGGGAATTAAGGAAATAATTAGAGATGTTAGAGGAAGATTCATCTATTACCCATGTATTCATTCACTTATCAAATATTTGACACTGGCTATGTGCCAGGTTTTAATTCTGGACTTTGTGATCAAGATTAGCCTCTGTCATTAAGGAACTTTAAACAAAATACTGGAAACACTATGAATGTACAATTGTAGAAAAGTGGTCAAATAAATTTCATTTATCCATAAGGTAGATATTATGAAACTTTAAAAAAAAACCCATGTTTTGAAGAATTTCCTGATTTTGTGTATTAAAAAAATTTGAGCATATGCTACTTTTATAACCAGAAAAACACACATTTCCATAGAGAGAAAATTGGGGCTAGAAGATTTGCAGTGTGAAAAGAAAATGAGAAGTTCTTTCTAATGGGGTTTCCTTAATCATGGGGATCAAGGGGAGGGAGGCCAAGGGGAGGGTAGATACAGGGAATAGCTTATTTTCTTGTATGTAGTCTCTCTTTAAATTTCTGTTGTAGTTTATTGTGTAACTATAGTCTGTCTTGATTACTATTTTTATTTATTTATCTCCTTTCTGGTATAAGATATGACCCAATCAGTAAAAGACTGATTTGCAGAAAAATCTCAGGAATAATCCTCTTTTCATTAGGTAATCCTTTTTTGGAGTTAATTTCGATTGAGACATTCCTTTTGCACTTCCCTGCTATGCCATCTGCATAAAGCAAACAGCAAAATGTGTACTACTATTTATTTTCTAGGCTTATTGTGCTTTCAGTTTGGGCTCAATGTTATTAGCATCTCATTTTCTTGCAAATATGAGAATTGTATGATTTTTATTTTCAGTGAAAATGGAACCACCTAAGATTCTTTCTGTGAAACCAATTTTGGGCATCAAAAAAATGATGCAAATAAAATGGGAATGGCATGACTCATTATTTTCTTCATCTGACTTCAAATACATGCTTCGATACAGGACAATCAATAGTACCCATTGGGTAAGTTATACTTTTATAATATTTCTATTAGAGGACCTGAGGAAGAGATTCATTGACAACTTTGTTGATCTAGAATCTTTTTAACTTTCTACATTGCAAATAGAAAAGTAACATACTAAGTACTATACTTTTCAGTTGTTTATTCACATCTTTTAGATTGGGTAGATGTTTCACCACAGGTGTATTATAGTCTGAGCACAGTGACACATTAAAGAATGAAAATTTTACTTTTGCATTCTACCTTGGTTTGTTTCTAGGTCTGTTGGTTATCAGATACGCTGTGGTTTGACCATTTCTTTTTTTTCCCCAACCTTTAGTAAAAATTTTAAGCATAACACATCTTGGAAAGTAAACAAAACATATATTGCATTTGTCAAATTACTATTAAGTCGGCACTCATGTAAAAGCTACCGAAGTCAAGAATAGAACATTTTCAGCATTCCAGAACCCTTTGATTACCTTTTTCTGATGATTACACTTTCTCCCCTTACAGTTAACTGCTATCCTGTTTTCACAGTAATCATTTCTTTGCTTTTAATATTTCACCATTATGCCAGATTTCTGGAAAAATATAATTTAAGGAGTGCCCACTATTATATAAGTGCCCAGCAGAAATATATGAGGAACATACAAATTCAATCTATGCAATTTGTATTTTTTATGTTTGACTTTATTCTCTTGATATTGTGCTTTTAAGATTTATTTATATAATTCTAAAATGACTTCACTCATTTAAATAATTTTTTATTGACCGTTTCAAGTGTTATGGTTTAGATATGAGAAATCTCCTAAAAGCTCATGTGTGAGACAAATAAGAAAGATTAGAAGTGAAATGATTGGGTTATGAGAGCCTTAACTTATCAATCCACTTGAATGGATTAACTGGGTGGTAACTGTAGGCAGATAGGATGTGACTAGAGGGGTAGGTCACTGGGGATGTGTCTTTGGGGCATATATTTTGTCTCTGATGAGTGGCCTCTCTCTCTCTCTCTCTCTGATTGCCATGATCTGAGCAGCTTTCCTATGTCATACCCTTTTGCCTTGATGTTCTGTCTCACCTCAGCTTGCCTTTTTGCTCTCTTATTAATGCTGAATTTTGATGAACAGAACTTCTTAATTTTGATCATGTTAACTTTTATCAAACTTTTCCTTTATGCTTAATGCTCTTTATGTTTTAAGAAACCTTTTCTTACCTTGGGGTTCAGAAGATAATTCTCCTGTTTCCTTCATCCCAGCCTAAAATTATATCATCCTTCATTTTTTGGTGACCACCTCACATTATGGAGATGTCTTTAAGACTTTTCCCCTCTCACAAAACTTGCTAGAAAAATACATATTCACTATTGTACAATTGTTTTTGTACTGATAATTGAACCTAGGCATGCTTTTCCACTGAACCAGATCCCCAGCCCTTTTTATTTTTTATTTTGAGACACTCAGTTGTTTAGAGCCTTTCTAAGTTACTGAGGCTGACCTCAAGCTTGCAATCTTCCTGCCTCAGCCTCCCAAGTCTCTGAGATTAAAGGAGGACACCACAAATTACCCAGTAATTTGTTAGGTTTTAACCTGAATTCAAATGCTCTATTTGCTCCTATTGAATTTCTTCGTTTTGGCCTTATTCATCATTTCACTCCACTTGGAACCTTTATTCTGCTACCCCAAACTGACTTTCAACATTTTACTTCCTTTTTAATACATGATAAACTTACTTCAGATTTAATAAATTAATTCTATGACTTTATCTAATCATTAAAAAAAGCAGTAACTGCATCAGAGCCCTGTGGAAAGCCAGTAGACTCTCCAGGGGCATCAATGCTGCCTTCTTTTTTTTTTTAATTTATTTTTTTAGGTGTAGATGGACACAACACAATGCCTTTATTTTTATGTGGTGCTGAGGATCGAACCTGGGTCCCGCCCATACTAAGCAAGCGCTCTACCACTGAGCCACAATCCCAGCCCCAGTGCTGCCTTCTTTGAGTGTAATCATTACTCAGGTTTCTACGAATACACCTGATTACCATGACAGTCATTTTTCATCATGTCCAGGAGGCTATCATGAGACCCTTTCCTAGTAGAAACCCTCAAACACGATGTCTGTTGTGTTCTATCCTGTTCTAGAATGCTTTAAGAAAAGAAAAGTTGTCAGGTTTCATTTTCCTGTATTCAGAGAGAATGATGTTGGCCACTCCTCCTTCCTGCTTCCTTTCTGAGCCAACTCTGGAACCCTCTTCCCTGACCCTGACTTTATGACACTGGACTCACCAATTTATAGTTCAAGGAGCCCCTAAGCAGAGCAGGCCTCAGCACAGCACAAACTCATCTTCCTTCAAGCCCTGTGCCATAGACTCAGCAAACCTGAGGAACTGTGGGGTGGTTCAGCCACACAACCAGCCCTGACTAGCCACCCCAGTTCTTTCTATTGGTAGGGTCCCAGAGTCACAAAATGTTCTAAGACAGGATTCAACAAGAAACAAACCAGAACCTACGTCACTCTGACCAATTACTCAACTATGTGTAACACTAAGTGAGGCCAACAAATAGAAGTTGCTCCAACTCTTGGCATTCTATACTCCTCCCTTTAACAAAGTCACTCACATCTGCATCCATCTTTGCCTTCTCTCTTTCTGTCCATGAGGTGAGATGACCTTCCTTCTGCTCTCCTGGAGAGAGAGCATCCAGGACTCACTCTCTCCTTTCAGATTTCAAACACAAGCAAGTCTCCTCAGTTCTAGAACCAGCTAAGATCAACCCAACCCACTCCAGCCTCATATTAATGGTCCCCACTCATGGAAAGAGGTACAAATCCTTAACCTTCTGAGACCAGGCCGCACCAACCCTCCAAGCTTGTCTTTCACCTTGAGCTTACTTCAGTAGTAATTCTGGATTGCTTGTTTTCCTTGCAGCACACTGTCTCCCTATTCTGTGTCTCTGCCTAGAACACCCTCTGCTTTTGTACCTGTGCTACTGCCCCTCTATTCATCTTTCAGAACTTAGATGAGATATATTTCTTTCTTAGGGTCTGAGCGAGGTTCCCCTCCTCTGTAAGTCTCTGTCATGGCACTTAACAATCAACACATTTAAACTCATTAGATTCACCCCTCAGTAGACTGTAAACTCAAATGCAGGTACCTTGATCGTCATTTTTATTTTTCCTTTGCTTGTCACATGGCTGTGTTCAACAAGCATCAGTTTAACCAAACAAAACCATGTAAAACTAATTCTAAAATCCCATTGTGCCCATATAAGAAGACCCATGTTTGTATGATGTTATATGGGTAACAAAATGCTTTCTTATGTGTCACCTATTTAATTCTTGCAAATATCCTATACATGAGGCATTGCTATCCTCACTTATAGATTAGGAAATTAAGATGTAGAGAGATTAATAAACCAAAATCACAAGGTCTGCAAGTTGCAAACCTAAGCCCAGGTTTTCTGACTCCAGGTTTGTCATTCATGTGACCACACTTCAGCAACCTTCAAACCTTCCTGCGGTTCTTGTCGCAGGGTTTGCCCCTTTTTATGATGAAGCCATGTGGACATCCTAGAAGCCATGTGGATATCCTAGAAATGAATCTCAAGATTGTTTAAAGAGTTTGATTTAGGCTTTGCACCAAAACTTCTGACTCATCCCTATGACAAACACTTTGGGTGAGCTAGGATTTGGCACGGAGCATAGACTTAGAAACAAATCTGATGGAGTTAATTAGTGTATTGGTAGGATTCCAAGGCCTGGGTGGACATGGGGAGGCTTTAGATCTAAGCCTGTGTATGAAGGCCTGGAGTCTGGGAGAGCCAATAGCTCCTCGACTAGACAAAAGCTAAGGTATAAATCCAAGGCAATTTACCTTAAAGGCAAAGTGTTGAAAAGACTGAACAGCCTGTTTTGGTTTTTCTGTAGCCGGGGCTGGGAACAGCAGGTTTAAGTGGTTAGATGAGGCAAAGCTTTCTCAGTCTGAGCATGATGGGAAGTACCAAGTAGGCCAAGTGTGTGCTGAAGGAAAAATTAGGAAGATTATTTTAAGAAAGATTTAAAAAGAATATTTTTAAAATTTTTATTTTTGGGTACTGGGATTGAGCCTAGGGGCACTTAACCACTGAAACACACAACCATCACTTTAAAACTTTTTTTCTTAAATTTATAGACAGGGTCTTGCTAAATTGCTGAGGACCTCACTAAGTTGCTGAGGCTGGCCTTGAACTTGCAATCCTCCTACCTCAGCCTCCTGAGCCCTTGGGATTATAGGCACTGTGTCCAGCAAATATTCTGCATTTTAAAAGGCATAAAAAAGTAAAATAGAGCATTATTAGACCTCCTTACAGTTGGCATATGGATTAGAATTATTTTTATAACCCCATGATGAATGACAGATTGTCTCAAGTTTTGTTCCCAATAACCTTAGTGTGTTGCCATAGTATCTCCTGGGGTTGTTTGGAAGAGGATGCTCCAGGAGCCCAGGCTTTAACAGTGAAAATGCTATTATTGCCTCTGGGTCTTACCTCCTTCCTCTGCCCCCAACTTGATTGGGCTTTCAGAAGTCCCTTTGTAGCTGGGGTGCTCTCTCTCAGTCACACACTTTCTTCTTTGCCCAATTACAGTTAGACCCAGGGACTATAATTAAGTACTTCCCTTCACAGCTCTTACATACATGTAAGAAATATCAGAACTTCCTTCTCTCGCTGGTTGTATACTAATAAAATGGACATCCTGTTAGTGAAATTTGTTTTTATTAATCAACTCAATATAAGTTTAATAAACTAACAGCTAACCATTTTCATTGTTCCAATAATGTCTGTGCTCAGAAATAAAAAAATATATATATATTTAGATTTTTAGTTTTTCAAGGAGGGTTGGCTCCAGAAGGGACTTTTAGAAATTTTATAAAACACCACCTTTATTTTGCTAATAATAAAGTGACACTGATTGAGAGAAGGGAACTGATTTAATTGGCCATTGTTCTTCCCAAGAGAATGTCAAAATGAATTTATATATCCAGGCTGTTGAGACTTTAAGCAGCTTGATTGGTTACCCCAAGACCAATCATTTATAAGGGAATATTGGGGTAAAAGAAAGAAACTGGGAGTGAAGAAACTTGTGTTCTGGTTCCAGTTCCACTGATCACAAATGCTGAGGTTGTCTTGGGGTCACTTAACTTTCCTGGGTCTCAACCCTGACCTGAGAGGATTGACCTCAATGCTGCCGAGGTCTCTAACCCCCTTGACCTGTGAAACTGTATTTCTAGGTACTGAAATCACCTCTGAGTTTAAGCTGAGGCCCAGTTTGCCCTGGGTCATGGAGTTTTGCCTTGTATCTTCTAGAACATCATTCACCAGGCCCAGAGATGGAAATCTCTGTTCCCAAGCTCAGAGACAGGAAATGGGGATGGAGGTGGTGGTTTTGGGGTGATTACATCTATTTAGGTACAAGTTGTCCCCAGGCAGGTGTGGAGGTTTATTTATGAAAATGATGTTTTTTAAAATCAGAGATACACTGTTTCTAGTTCTGAAAGGTAAGAGAGCATTGAGTAGTGAAGGAAATGTGGAAAGGGAAGATGTGCTGCCCCCATTTCAGCTGAGAGCTTTTTCTGTCTCGCAGGTGGAAGTTGACTTCCAGAGTGATGATCTGGTCTACAACCTCACGGGGCTGCAGGCTTTCACAGAATACATCATAGCCATGCGATGTATGGTCAAAGGATCATACTTTTGGAGTGACTGGAGCCAAGAAAAAATGGGACTAACCGAGGAAGAAGGCAAGCTGTTCTCTGTAATTCCTTGTCTCTGTGCTCTGGTGTAGGGCTGTCTCTGCCTAGACCTGGTAGATTTTGTCAAGTGCCAGGCTTGAGAATCATGGAATCCTGTAATCCCAAAACCTGGAGAGTCCTCATGTTCCCTCTCCACAGGCACTTATAGTCCCCACTGAGCCCCTGGGAGCAAGCTATGCTCATCTGAGGATGTTAGTTACCTTAGCATCTTTGTATCCCAAAGGCAAAAGATCTCTTCTTTAATGTTCTTATAAGGTTCTTACATTCTACCTGAAGAGGTATCATATTATTTAAAGGTATCCTTTTATAAACTGAAGATATATATTTTAAATCCTAAAGCTACTACTAAAATATAAAGTATAACTAATGAAATGGGAAAAAAAATCACCTTTAATGACAGAAAGGGAAGGAAAAAGATAAGATAGCCAAGTTCCATGGGGGTCTCAGATAACATCTGGTTTCAGCTTCTACTTGGGTCCAACAGTTCATTCCTCTGGCTCCTGCATGAATTTCCCATGACACCAAGTTGATATTAACAGATGTTTGGCAGATTTACCAGAGTGATAGGATTCCGGAAATGGTCTGATGCCTTGTGAGTCTTGTATTCCCCAATGGATGTTCATGCTTAGCCTGGACTTCTCCTTAGTGGCTATGGTTTCAGAACATGGATTCATGCTGCAAATGGGGAATTGGGTTAGACATCCTCCAAAAGCTCTTCTCACTCTGAGCTTCTTTTCTTATATGCATTGCTTTAGTAATATGGAGAAAAAAATCACAGAAAATACCAAACCATTAAGTGCTTAGAACTGTGCCTCACACATGATATTTTTATATGTATAAAATATTTATTTATTTTAAAAAAGTTTTTTAGTTATAGGTGACCACAGTGACTTTATTTATTTATTTTTATGTGATGATAAAGATCAATACCCATATTGTATCCCCACAGCACAGTTAAGTGAGTGCCCTACCACTGAGCCACAATCCCAGCCCTATTTATTTATTTTAAAGAAATTAAAATGTATGTTAAAACAAGGTATGGGCCATGTGTTGTCCTAGCAGCTCAGGAGGCTGAGGCAGAAGGATCATGAATTCAAAGCCAGCCTCAGCAACTTAGTGAGGTCCTAAGCAATTCAGTGAGACCCTGTCTCTAAATAAAATATAAAAAGGGATGGGGGGGGTTGGGATTGTGGCTCAGCGATAGAGCGCTCACCTCGAATATGCGAGACCTTGGGTTCGATCCTCAGCACCACATTAAAAAAAATAAATAACTGAGGTAAAGGTATTATGTCCAACTACAACTAAAAAATAAATATTAAAAAAAAAAAGAAAAAAAAGGGATGGGGATGTGGCTCAGTGGAAGAGTGTCCTAGGCCCAATCCCCAGTACCAACAAAACAAAACAAAACAAAAAACCAAGGTGTGGACCTAATGTAAACTAAAAAATACATACATTTGGCACATATTGACATTCTATATATGTCATTTCTAAATGTCTAATCAATACAAATAAAATGGTTTACAAATATCAAACAGCACATAAATTGCACAATAAAAAAATGGCCCAGTGGTATTGTTGAAATAGTTCATGTTGTCTATATTTTAGTTAAACCCTCCCTTTAAAATGCTAAAATGAAGCCCTGGGATATCATTGATCTTTTCTCTGCTACACCTTTCAGTAGGTAATTTGGTGATTAAGTACTACCTTGGGTGGGATGGTATTTTATCCAGCACTTTTAAAAAATATATATATTTTTAGTTATAGATGGACACAATACCTTTATTTTAGTTATTTGTTTTTATGTGTTGCTAAGGATCAAACCCAGTTCCTCACATGTACTAGTTGAGCTTTCTACCACTGAGCCACAACCCCAGCCCTTGGCTAGCACTTCTCTCTGTGCCTATCACTCTTCTTGTCTGGTGCCTTTATGGCTCAGAGTCTCAAGTCTGGTAAGTTCTTCACAGTCCAGCCACTCCCTAATGTCAGTTTCCTCAACTTGTTTTGCTGTCAGAAACAAGATTTACGATTTCATGTGATCTATTAGCTCGGCAAGTTTGGTTAAGAGTAATTTGCAGAAACACTTGATGCTGGTGTTCTCGTTTGCTAATTAAATCAATCAACGCTTATTTGTCAAAGTTACCCATAAAGAACATTGGCTCTCCCTCCCCCAGCATTTTCAGGATCCAAGAGGAAATTGATGAAAATGCATATCCAACCTCCTAGCAAATCCCAATTTCTGATTTTCCAACTCATAAACCCTTTGTTTCCCTACTTCACAGTGAAATGCTAGTTGTCTAGTACATATAATTTCAAATCTAATTATTTGAAAAATTCTAAGTTAAATGTGAGGTACTACCTATTTTCTCTTGGATTTCATCATATTAATAGGGCTGTATACCTACATTTTGTCATTAAATATCTACTTCCTAAATGATTCTGGTATAATTTGATTCAATTTTTAGCTTTATTACTTAGAAGCTTGTGATACTGGGCAATAATTTATGCTTCAGAAATGAGGATTATGAAATATATGATTTGGGGTTAGATAATTCAGGTAAAATGCTTAATATAGCGATACTTACTAAAAGATAGTTGTTATTATTGTTGGTCTTTAGCAAGGGCATTAGTATGTGTCTGCTTGCTATTGGTTGAGGGGATACCCATATTGTATCCCCACAGCATAACATCTAATTGTTTCTAAATCAGTCCAGGTAATTGATGCCTTAGAATACATAGGTATTTTGATGGACTTGGAAAAATTCAATTTTTTCCCCCACAAATGTAGAGTTACTACTCCCACTACCCTTTGGTTAGACTATAAATTCATTATCAACTCATGGTCAATGAAAAGTTCACTGTAATAATTGTAGAAGATTTACATGCTAGTCAGGCAGGTGTTTTTTTTTTTACTAAAAACTGCATCTGATGGAAAGTCTATTTGGATATCTGCAAGAAATAATGGCCTCAATGAAAGAAGAAAATGCTCAATTAAACTCATTCATTATTGCTGTCTACTAAAACTAAGTGGCTGCCCAAGAGATAAATCTAAGGAGAATTTCACTAAGGTTTCTAATCAAAAATAAAAAAGTCAAAATGCCTGGGATGATTATTTAATAATCAATTTATGTATTTATCCTTGAGATGACTACTTAGGACTGGATTATAATGATCATTTTGTGTTTAGAATTTTCATTCTTACTCCCAATATTATTATCCCTGATTTGACTTTCCACATGACTGGAACAGAGAAATTCTGCAAATTAAAGAGAACGAGTCCCTCCAATTCTGTGGGTTACCTTTGAAAGTCTGATGGTTTTGTGGGCCCATACTAAGGCTGTCTCTGAGAGAGGCTTTACCTGCGCATATGTCTCACTTGTCTTATAAACAGGCTGAAAGCAGCCTGTTTCTTCCTGGGAAAGTTGAGTACTGGCTGTTCTGTCTTGTCATTCAACAAAGACTGTTGGGAAATAGAAAACTCCTGGGAGAGCTTTTAAGGCAACATCTCAGTGGAATTCAGGTGAAGTCACATGTGAAGTCTAAACAGCTCCAATCACCTTATAAACAGTTTAAATGAAATTACAATAGATCTCACTGGGAGATGCTAGCCCTAGTAGCTAGCCTATGTTACTCATACTTTTGTTTCTGCAAGAGTAGTTGTAGAAATGTGGCTCTCCCTTGATGACAAAACAAGTTATCGACTTAATTGCCCTTTGGTGTACTTTTCTACACTATAAGGTTGTCTTTAGTTGCAGATACTCATTTCACTATAAGATCCCAATCATTTAAAGTTAAAAAGATCCCTGAAGACAGTCTTTCAGTACTAAAATAGTTCAGATTTTGGCCTTAGAGGTAGGCTCCATTCTTTGTGGACCTAATATAGCATCCCCAGCCACACAACTTCCTCAAGAAAGGATTCAGAGAGCTGCATCTCTTTATTAGGTTCATTTCCTCTCTGCTCCAAATTGTAGGCCACTAGTCTCCTGGACATTTCTTTAGTACCTTCTGCTTGCCTCTCCTGGCTGATGTGTGTGGGTCATTCTTTAATCAGCAGGTCAGCATTTTGACATTGCAGGTACGTGTTGGAGCGTTGAACTACAGATTGCCGGTGATCCATCCCTTGTCAGAACTTGCTTGAGACATTTGAAATAGTCCAGAGAAAAAGTGAAATGTAAATTCCTTATTTTTGTACATTTTGTCCCTGTATACTTAGATCATCGGAAACCTTTACTCTCAAACTGTGTTTTTACTGAAAGAAGTTGACTCAGATTTTATGCCCTTGTATTTTATAGATGACAACCATGAGAAACATGTTTGTATTGTATTTCTATGCTTTTACTCACCTGAGATTGCCGTTTTTTGGTCTTTTTGTCGCCCTGTGTCCTTTTTGAGATAAGTCCTATTTATGAACTTAGTGTCCATAGGCAGAAAACAATAATCTCTTCATATGAATTTCTGTGTTTTCTTTTTATCAGGTTATGAGAATTTATTCTTTTTTACTTTTCTTGCTGGGAAGACCAGCATTAAATTTAGAGCTCAGTATCTGAGTGTGGTGACACACACCTGTAATCCAGTGACTGTGGAGGCTGAGGTAGGAGGATGGCAAGTTTGAGGACAACCTCAGCAACTTAGCAAGATCCTGTCTCAAACTAAAAGAAAAAGGATGTCACTCAATGATAGAATGCTTATGCAGCATGTGTAAAACCCTGGGTTCAATTCCCAGTACAGCTAAATAAATAAATAAATAAATAAAAATTTAGGAACAGTGAGGAATAGTGAAGATTATTTCCTTGTTACTTTCCTTTTTTTTTTCCTACATCTTATACCATTATAAGTACTCAAGTTCATTCTTTTTGGACATACACATGGTATAAATTATATATACATAATTTCTTATCAATTATCTGTGTCACTCCCAGCTTTATAGACACATTTCCATCCAGATTTGGGGGATCAATTATATTACAATGGGGTTGTATTGTACTTTTCTTTTTCTCTTTCATTAAGTTATCAGACCCAAGTGCACTTCTTCCTTCCTTCCTTCCTTCCTTCCTTCCTTCCTTCCCTCCTTCCTTCCTTCCTTCCTTCCTTCCTTCCTTCCTTCCTTCCTTCCTTCCTTCCTTCCTTTGGCACTGGGGATGAACAGGTTTTGTTTTGTTTTTTGGTACTGGGATTGAACATGGGGCACTTTGCCACTGAGCTACATCCCAAGTCCTTTTTATTATTTATTTTGAGACAGGTTCTTGCTGAATTGCTGAGGTCTCAGTTGCCCAGGCTGGCCTTGAACTTTCAGTCTTCCTGCTTCAGCCTTCCTGGGATTACAGGCATGCACCACTGCATGCCAGGATGAGCAGTTTTATTTTTAAGTTTGGTTCCTCCCAGTTCTTCAACCGCAAAATGAAGACCACCTTGTTGGTCATTGCAAGGCTGCCATTTCTTCATGCTGCCGTCCTCAGCTGGCTCCCTCCAGCATATTCTTCTCCATTGCCTTTCTCACCCAGTAGCTCAGCAAACTTTCCCCATCTCCTGTTGCAATTCCCTTCTAAGTTGAGCACCTATCTTGTTCCTTTCAGTTCCAGGTGGCCTGGATCTGTGGCGAGTCCTGAGACCAGCTGAGGTGGATGGAAGGAGACCAGTGCAGTTGCTCTGGAAGGTGACCTTCCTTTGAGTTCTTCTTTGTTTTTTCCCTGTTTAAACAAACAAATAACAACAACAACAACAAAAAAAAAACAACTTTGGTCTTTTATCCCTGTAAACACTATGATTCTTGAAATTTTACGTCCTGAATTTCCTTTCCTAGAGGGCTTTATGATGCTTCAAATCTCAATCTTTTTTTCTCAATGCCCAGCTCAGAAGAGCCCCAGAGGTCATCTTGTAGATGTCCCGATGCACATTATAGACCCTGGGTCCCTCTTTGGTCTGAAACATTAACATTTAGGACCATTATGAAGTACAATACAGGAGGCACTGTGACCTTTTGCCAGAAGCCATCCCGACTGGCTGCACTAGAACACAGTGTGAAGACTCTCCCTACACACCCAAGAGGAACGCTGACAAGGGTCAGCTCAGTGTCCTGAGGTCATTGCCAACATGTCTGGCACACGTGTCCCTTTAAGAACCAGGATCTCGGGGTGCAAAGATAGAAGAGGGGCCATGTGTTCCTATATAGGATGGAGGCCTGGGAGTGAGGAACAAGGAGAAAGGAAGAGGTAATAAGAGAAGGAAGTAGGAGAGGACAGAAAAGGAGGGGGAGAGGTAATAAGTAGGAAAGAAAATGAACAGAGAGGGAAAAACTTCATGGGAAGGAGGAGAGAAAAGATAGGAAGTTGGGAGAAGAAGATGTCTCTTTAGATGTCTCCAAAATTCTCAAGATAATGCTCATTAAATAATCCCCTACTTGCTGAAGTTCAGACAAGTTTAAATCCTTTTGAAAATGGAGAAATCACTCTGATTAGCCAAGTGACATCTCAATTCCAATTATTCAGGGTTGGAATACCCCCTGCCTTTGTCTCTCTCCTTTCACACCCTGGGGGACACCCTCAGGTTGTGGAGGCAGCAGACAGGATTGGGAAATCTTTGAGAATCAATCCCAGACGCTGGGATTTCTTTTATCAAGAGTGGAAACAGATGACTCTCTCAACAATTAATTTTTAGGGAGATAAACAATGACACACACCCACATATGGTCTTAACTACGCAGGGGTGGGAAAGGATCAAGTAAGCCAGCCTGTGAAGTAGGCAAGACAGCTTCAATGCCCTCCTCCTACTTCCCCTTGCCTGGGGACTGGCTTTTCTTTTGCCTGGACAGGAGAGCTTTTTCTAAGAATTTGAGTTGGTTTAAAAAAAAAAAAAAGTACTAAAATTAGATAGTGCTAATGGTTGCAGGAGTCTGTGAATATCCTGAAAACCATGGACTGATACACTTTCGAAGAGTGAACTTTATAGAATATGATTTTTATCTCAAAGTTGTTGTTTTAAAAAGAGAACAGGTTTTCTTGAGAGAGAAAAGCATATTAGTCATTAATAGTGTTTTATCTGGTCTTTTGTGCTGTGGTCTGTGTAAAGGAAATTCCTGAATAAGGAAGGCAATGGGCCAAAGTGACTTCTAAAGCCTTGACTGACTACACACCCAGTCATTCTTCTCCATCTGTGTTTGTAATCAGCAAGAGAGAACAAAAACACTGGGAATCCCTATAAATCCTGGGAAATACTCAGTATGGTGACTACTAGGCAAAACATCTGGTTAGTAGGTCCAGATTCAAGGCTGAAAATTGGAAATTTGGCTTGGAGCCCCTCCATCCTCTCATATTGGCTTTTGACCAAGAGTCTGGGACTGGTAGGGCAGACCAGAATGTCTTAGTCCTCAGCTGGATGCCTGGCTAGAGTGCCTGGTCTAGGGACGCCTGCTGTATCCTCAGGGGTAGGAAGTATGGAGATGAAAGACAAAGGCACAGGTATTCTCTAGTCCTCCAGGCTTCCAGGAAGAAGTTAGTCAGGGCCAGATCAGACTTGAGATTGCTCAGGGCCACTGCCTTGTGGGATGGAGGGAAAGACTTGGAGGTGTGTTGCTTACACTGATTTGGGCATTCTCCTCATTTAGTCTCATGAAATTGGGCTTATGTTAAAGGCTGAAAGGTACCAAGATGTCTTTTAGCAAATCCCTTCTTTTGGTACTTGAAGGTTAATATCACTGCAGCAGGGTATGTATTCATCACTGAAGGATAATTCCCTGATTGTAGGTCAGCATCTCAGAGCTAACATTACCCCCAACCTCTATTTCACCACTTCTCACTGTCTCAATGCCTTTTTTTCTTTCTGGTATTGGCAATAAGTTGTGTTTCCTTTGGCTTTAGAAAGCAAGAGGAGCCCCAGTCCTGGAGAAAACATTTGGCTACATCCTATCATACTTTCCAGAAAACAACACTAACCTCACACAGATAATTAATACCACCACCCAGCAGTGTGAGCTGTACCTGGGAGGTGAGACCTACTGGGTGTCTGTGACTTCTTATAATTCTCTTGGGAATTCTCCAGCGGCCACCCTGAGGATTCCAGCTGTCAATGAGACACGTAAGTAGAGTGTGAACTTCTTTTGTGGGTGCCTGGTCCCATCCAACTGCCCATAGCACATCCTGTCCTCTCAAGGATAGTTGCTTCTCTTGAGTCAAAATGACAAGGGAGTGGGGACTTTTTAGGTTTTGGTGGAGAATAAATCTGCTGGTAGGTAATGAGTCCCCTGAAATATGGTTTCTTTGGAACAAAGTCTGTGTTACAAATTAGAGACTTCAAAAATGTTGGACAAAGACAATAAAGCTTAGGTGCTCTCCATACAGCTCATGTTTGTCCTGGTCCAAGCAGATGAAAGCTGGGTTGAGCCACTTGCAATGGTCATATTTGATCACGATCCTCAGTGATCAAAGCCTCCCTTGATCTCCTGCAGGTGGGCTTGACCAGTCCCCAGCTATTGGGTCTGAATGCTCACTTTCTTGTTTTCTTCCTTTTTTACCCTTCCATTTGACTCCCAAGTTAGGACAAATTCTAATTTATATGCTTGCTAGTCAGTGGCACCTTATACTTGATTAAGAAGCTTTGAAGATCTTACTGCTTCCAGGAAAACTTATATTTTACATCTTGTTTTGGATTAAAATGTCTTTTTGATTCTTATTCAAGAATTGCAAGCAATAGATTTCCTTTCCTCTGATTTATTTTTCTCTATTAAACTAGTACTATCCTTCATTCCATGTATTTTCTCATTTACTCCTTCAATAAGATGCATGTCCAATGGGTAGAGTTTCTGTTTTCCCTTTCTTCTTCCTTTCTTCCTTTTCTTCTTTCCTTTTTCTTTTTAAAAATCTAATTTCAATTCCTATAGAAGCACAAAGCAGTTAGCATAGAGAACACTCTCAGTGGGGATTTGTCAGCACCATTGTTAGAGAATGTTCTCTCCCATTTGCCACTCTCTCTCTTTGTTTGCCCCAGACTGGCTCAGGCATTTATCTAACCAGCTTTAGACTCCTGTGCCTTTTCTTCTTAAACTTAACCCATTTCCCCCATCATTTTATAACTCCTGGAAATTTGTATTTTGTGTTTTGAGCAAAATCTTGATATTATTTTAGTATTTAAAGGCATTCCCTATGGTCCTTGGTTCCTGACTTTCTAGTTCCTACCTGTCTGGTACTCTCATGATGAAGTTTCTGAGAAATGCATTTTGTCCTTGGAATATGCATGCTTTGTTTGTATGCATTTTGATAAATAGTAATCTCAGTTCCCTAGTATGGCCCCAGAGTGAGGAATAGTGACAAAGGCCCTACAGTCCAACAAGCTCTGAGTTCAAATCTGTGCACTTGCACAGGATACCATGAACCTTGGGCAAGTTACCCCATCTCTCTAGATCTAGGCTCCTTGTAAAATGGAGCTATTACATAATAACACAAACTTAATAGAACTGTTGTGAAGATTAAATGAGATTCTGTATGTGAAAATCTTTGTCTTAGTGTTAATTATTATTGTCATAAAAATTTCTGGTTAATTGAATTTCTATTAGACATGAATTATCAATTTAAAAATGCTATAAAATATACTTTAGCTAAAATTATGCTAAATTCACGTAGGTTTTCTCTATCTTTATGTTAGAAACATCGATTATAATGGTCCTCGAATAGAGAGAGGTGTTGGCCAACTTGTGTCCAAACCTGGTCTGACACCTGTTTTTGTCAAGTTTTATTGAAACACCACCACACCTGTTTGTTTACATATTGTTTATGTCTTCTTTTGTGCAACAGTGGCAAAGTAGTTGTGATAGAGACCATGTAGCCTGCAAAGCTTAAAATATTTATTTTCTGGTTCTTTACAGAGGAAGCTTACAGACTCCTGTACTAGACATATAAGAAAGTACTGTGGCAAGGCCCTGAGCAAGTTGGTGAGACCTGTGTCAAAATAAGCAATAAATAAAAAGGGCTGGCCATGTATTTATAATACATCAAAATACACTCTACTTTCATATATATCTAAAAAGAACAAATAAAAAGAAGAATATATGGGGGAGACATTATTTATTATTTGAATAAAAATAAAAAATGTTTGTATTCCTTTTAAAAATTAAAGAAGAAATAAATAAAAAGGGTTGGGGATATAACTCAGTGGTAAAGCTCCCCTGGATTCAATCCCTAGTACCAAAAAAAAAGAAAGAACAAAGAAAAAGTAATGGTCTTCAGAATTTTATTTAATAAAGTAGAGATAACTGGAGAATTATTACAATTTTTTAAAGTATAATTGTTACATATTTTCCACTTGTATGTGTCAGGCATTATGCTGAGATACCTTCTATTACCTCATTTTAACTTTGAAATGACCCATGATATAGATGCTGTTAGATCCACTTTCAAGATGATGCAGATATCCAGAAAAGTTTAGTAACTTGTCCATGGACTCTCAGATGAGATTCCAGCCCAAGTCTAGATGAACCAAAATGGTACAATATACTTTATCTAGAGTCTTGAACATGGTGTTAATTCTGGTCACAGATGCTGTGTGATGCTGGGCTGGTTACTTACCTCTGTGGGTACCCATGTTCTCATCTTTAGAATAAGATTGGAATAGATAAATCTTCAGGCGCCTTCTGCCTAAACATGGGAGTTTTTATGAGACTTCAGCCAGCAGGCAGTTGAACAGTGTTCTGAGGCAGGGTGTGAAAAAGCACAGCCACTGTGTGGTGAGGGACCTGAGAAGGAGAAGGGAACTATGCTGGAGTAGAGATCAGGTTGGGCTATGAGAGCTGGCAAAGGGGAAACAGTAACCGAGAATTTGTTGGATCCAGTGTGTTTGTCTTCATTAAGAAATTAATGGTGTTTGTAGTCAAGCGCTTTCCCCCTTTCCTAGGGAGGAGCTGTGTTTCCTACCACTGTGGAAAATGTGTTGTATTTAGAATAATTGCTCAAAAAATTCTTGTTGAATGATGGAAGGACTAGCAATTAGTCTATATTCAGTAGAATGATTTGGAAAATTCTTTTTGAAAATCCCCCAGTAAGGCAAGGCCTTTCCTCTTTTATAATTGCCACATGGCTTCTTGGAACTCTTTCCCCTGCCTCTCATGATCTCCTCAATCTTGTTAGCACACTGGGCACTTTAGACCTGGCTCCTCCTATTTCTCATAACTCCTGGTTTGGTGAGCAGAAGGAGTGTGGTTTTTTCAGCCAGTGCTCGCTCATTTTCAGGTCAGGATCTGTGGGCAAATCATTTATTAAGAAAAATGTCTCTGGAAAGATCAGAACTGCAAACAAGGGAAACAGGCCAGGTAGGGGAGAAGACTGAGCCAAGGGTGCTTTTCAGTGTCCCATGACTGCTGTCACAAAATACCACAAACCATGAGCCTTAAAACAAGAGAAATTTATTGTCTCATAGTTCTGGTGGCTAGAAGTCTAAAGGTGTTAGCTGAGTCATGCTTCCTCCTTTCAGGGGAGGATCCTTCCTCCCATCTTCCAGCTTCCAGTAGCACCAGGTATTTCTCAGCTTATGGAATCTCCACTGACTCCAGTAACTCCAGTCTCTGCCTGTGTCCTGCCTCCTGCGTCTCTTTTTCTGGGTCCAGATTCCTCTTTTCTTATAAGGACACATGCAACCCATAATCGGTTGGGTGCAATCTGAAATAAAAGTCCCGAGGAAGATGGTCCCTCCGAATCCTGCAGAGTGACTCTGGAGTATATATTTCAGAATTATCCCAATCAAGCAAAACACACAAACAATAAGAATGAATCTGAGAGGGTCTAAAAGATAAGATTTCCAATGCTCCAGCAATGAGCTTCAGCCTGGAGTAGCTGAGAATGCTTCAAGCCCTGAGCAGGACGAGTCAGGGAGGAAACAGCAGGAGCTCTGGGACTAGGTATCTTGATACCTAGGCTCTGTGCTTCTTGCTGTTCCATGGCCCCTTCTTCAGTTTCACATGTTCTTTATACCTTAGCTGTCCTTTCTCAAAGCTACCATTACAGGTAAACAAATTACCTGGCCTTACTTTTAGGACTAACAGCTGGAATATCTCATAAAGGTCCAGTTTGGGAAAAGGACCCATAAACTGTGGCTTACAAGAACAAGACTCTAAAATATACACACCACCTAAGAGATCCATTCTTTGTCTCAGGTTTGCTTTTCTTTTAACTTGCAGAAACATCTATGGAAGGTTGATCTCTTTAGATAATAACTCTCTATTGAGATCTATTTTAGAAACAGGTCAATTTAGGGGGGATAAAAGCAGATAAGAAGGTATTTAGTGCTCAAAGGTATTGGATAAAGAAAAAGAATACAGAAATAGCACCATCTGGGGAGGCTGTAGTGGAAGTCCTGAACTTTGACCTTCTTTCACAATTTGGGCAATAATTGGATGCCAAGTGGTTGGGGCGTTGGGTCAAGCAGCTGTGAAGCAGTTTTTATGTCATCTTTCAGCATTTCAGTGCATTGAGGCCATGCAGACCCACTTTGCCCAGGACCTGCTGGTGGTGAAATGGCAAAGCTCCAATCCAGTGGTGGACACATGGATGGTTGAGTGGTTCCCAGATTTGGACTCGGAGTCCTCTGACATCTCCTGGGAATCTGTGTCTGAGGCCAGGAACTGGACAATTCCACAAGGTAGCTGGTGCCAAACTTCAAGTTCCCTCCGTGTAGGATTTGGTTTCATTTTAATCAGCTTTTAAATTTTTAACTTTGGCTTCCAAACTGTAAATGTAGTTAGTAGCATTTGACAAGCTTGTGCAAGCTTACTGAAGTGTCACACTATTTGGCATTTCCCAAGTATCGCTGGCACAGAAAACTGTGGGTCTCAGGACATGGAGCCTTTCCCTGTATCCAGGCACAGATGAAAACACCATCCTAACACCCAGATATCTTGATCATCTTGGGGATAACACCACAGTTTGGATACTATCTGTCCTACTTAGGTTACTCCTTTCTGTTTTGGCTGCCTGGTTAAGGACCTGGTTAAGGTCCCTTTCTCAGGTGACTGATATAGGGAATTGCTGATTTTCAAGAAAGTCCCTGCCCTATGCAAGATGTGAGGCTTTAGCTTATCACTCTAGCCATTTCTGAATGCTTAGTGGCCTTCATTAGTAATGGCACCTATACTAAGAATTATACTAGTCAGGTGTGGTGGTGCATGCCTGAATCCTAGCAGCCTGGGAAGCTGGGACAGGAGGATCACAAGTTCAAAGCCAGCCTCAGCAACTTAGGGAGGCCTTAAGCAATTTAGTAAGACCCTGTCTTAAGATGAAAAATTTTAAAAGGAGGTACTGGGGATGTGACTCAGTGGTTAAATGACCCTGGGTTCAAACCCTAGTACCCCCCCCAAAAAAATTATACTCATGTAGGGATGCAGGCAGGCGAACCAGAATTCATGGTATCTCAGTTCTCCAGGGTGATGTGCTATTGCCAAAAGGATTAAATTTTATTCTGCACTGCTCCAAATCATATGATAAAATCAGTAATGGAGAAGGGACTGTATATCTTACTTGGATGGTTTTGTAATTTTATCAGAGTGGTACAGCATTAAATTCTAAGAATTAATTAGAAATTCTTAGAACAAAAATAGATATTAGAGATCATCAAGGAAATTGTAGAGAAATGAAGTATCTTCCGTTGGAACATTGAAATATCTTCCAAGTTATGGTCTTAGACATTAAGCATTCCTTCTACTCTGCCATACTCTACAATTAGCTTAGTTTTTTTCCCTTTCTTTCCTTTTTTTTATATAGATAAATTAAAACCTTGTAACCTCTATAACATCTCTGTGTATCCACTGTTCCAAGACCGAGTGGGAGAACCATATTCCATCCAGGAGTATGCTAAAGAATGTGGTATGTATGAACAAGGCCCTGTGGGTGAAGGGAAACCATGGGGACTGTCCAATATTCAGAGAATGATGTGAATGTCTATAGCTCATTCATGGTTGCCTGAAGATCCAATTGTGCAGGACTTCCATCTTGTAGCCATCTCTGTGTTGGATATAGTGGGGTCAGGTTATAGAGTCACTAGATTTTATAGGTGGGGTAGACATTGAAGATCATCAAGTTCAGTTCTGTCACTTCAAAAGTGGAAAACTGAGACTCAGAGAGGTGAAACAACTTTCCCAAAGTCACCAAAAAATTTAGTGCAAATGGAGCTACAACTAGAAATAATAATGAAGACCAATCAGGGACCCTATAGAGTTCATCACAAGTTAAACATGTTAAAATTATTTTTCAATTTTTTCTCACTAGTTATACATGATAGTAGAATGAATTTTCACATATTATACCTATATGGAGTATAACATCTCATTCTTCTGATTGTATAATCATATACACATTTAGGATAGTAATGTCTGATTCCTTGTACAATCTTTCCTATTCCCATTCCCCTACCTTCCCTTCATTCCCCTTAATTTTTTTAAATGTAATAAGTGCTTTAGTGGCAAATTGATCAGATTTATTTTTACCTCTGTGGAAGTTAACATATTCCAGATTCAGCGTTAGAAAATAACTCCTGCTATATATGCAAAGGTAGCCTGTGGAGGCAGTGTTCAACTACTTGAAAATAGCTACACTTAACACATATAAATGAAAGAACTGGGTGCTTCATTGGAGCTAGGGGTATATAAATAAAGTATTTTTCCCTCTGGTCTTTGATGCAACTTTTCTTATTATTTAAGATGCATGATTGTAGAAAACAATCCTTCCAAATAGGGTGACTTATCAGTTCCCTCCTCAACCTCCATTCTCCACTTCAAGGACTGTGGTTTTGGTTTGAGTAGGGACAAGACCTCTGTGGGGAAAGGATCTGCTGGGATGTGTTTCCACTTGGTCATTTATCTTTCTGTCCTCTCAAGCTCCAGAGAAGGGTCCTGTAATCAAGGCAGAAAATATTGGTGTGAACTCAGTTACAATTACATGGGAAGAGATTTCCAAGAGTGACAGAGGAGGTTTTATCAGCAACTACACCATATTTTACCAAGCTGAAGGTGGAAAAGAATTCTGTAAGTAGGCTCATGACCAAGTTGAAGAAACATAACTCCTCAGATAGATGATGTGGATAGACTTGGAGGGGTAGCTCCTATGGTTGTAACCAGCAACCTTGCATGAATCACTTAGCTCCTTTGAGCTTTGCTGAAAACTGGGTCCCTCTTGAGTTTGGAGGTTAAATAAGAGTGAAATGACTTACCTAAGAGGCCTATAGGAACGGCAGAAATTTGATATCATTATCTTGAACAGGCTTTGAGTGATTTTACCCCCTGATCATTTATTCCTGGGAGAGGTGTGCCTGGCTTAAAGAATGGCATAGGACCAGTAGAATAGAGGAAGGAGACCAGGGGTGGGAGGAAGGGAGGATAAGGGAGAGACTGGAGAAGGAATTGGATCAAGTTATATTGTGTGTATGTATGAATAGGCAACAATGAATCCCACTGTTATATATGATTATAACTCACGAGCAAAAAGGAAAAAAAAAAAAAGCACATGTCAGAGGGACATGCCCTGTTTTGATGGCACTTACTTTCAAGGTTCTTTACCACGACTTCTACTGCCCACCACTATGCTGTGCTTTTTTCTTGAGTCTACAGTATCTCCTGATATCTTAAATTTTGGGGATATGCTTGGATTCCTGTCTAGGATAAGGTATAATACACATAACATAAAATTTACCCTTTTAAACAAGTTGTAGAATTTATTAGCATTAAAAATATTTGCAATATTATGAAACCATCACCCCTATTTCCAGAACTTTTCTATTCTCATTCAAATAGAAACTCTGTATCCTTTAATCAGTCATTTCCTATCCCCTACTTCTTATAGCCTCTGGAATTCACCAAGCTGCTTTATGTTTCTATGTATTGCCTGTTAAGGAACATCTCATATAAATATAATTAGGGCTGGAGTGTAGTTGCCAAGCATGCACAATGCCCTGGGTTCAATCCTAAGTACTGCAAAATGATGAAAAATAAATAAATAAATAAATAAATAAATAAATAAATAAATAAAGTCATACAATATGCAGCTTTCAAACTTCTTCTATGTTATAGCATTGAGTCCTTAGGGCCTTTTTATGATGGAATAATATTTCATTGTATGGTTATTTGATGTTTTGCTTACACATTCATTGTTTGATGAGGCTTTGGGTTGTTTGACCTATAGATCCTATGAATAATGCTTCTATGAATATTGATGTGCAAATATCTGGGTTTTTGCTTTCAGTTCTTTTGGGTATATACCTCAGAAAGGAACTGCTGAATCACATGGTGCTTTAGCGTATTGAGACACCACCAAATTATTTTTTAAATATTTTTTTTAGTTGTAGTTGGACATAATACCTTTATTTTATTTATTTATGTTTTTAATATGGTGCTGAGTATGGAACCCAGTGCCTTGCATGTGCTAGGTGAGCACTCTACCGCTAAGCCCCAGCCCCAGCCCCCACCACACCATATTTCACAGTGATTACATTCCCACCAGAAATGTATAGGGTTTCAGTTTCTCTGCATCCTTGCCAACGCTTCTTACTTATCATTACAAAAAAAAAAAAAAAAACCCAAAACTATTATGGCTATCATAGTGGGTATGAAGTGATTTCTCACTTATTTACATTTCTCTAATCTCTACTGTTACAGTCTGTTCATGTAGTTGTCCGCCATTTGTATATCTTCTTCAGAGAAATCTATCTTTAATCTTGTTGAGGATTTTAAAATCAGATTGTCTTTTTGTTGCTGTTACAAAAATTTTTTATAGTTGTGGATATAAACTTCTTATTAAACATATGATTTGCAAATATTTTCTCCAGTTTTGTGAGTTGTCTTTTATTCTTTTGGTATGTCTTTTGATGAACAAGACCTTTTAACTTTAATGAAGTTATGTTTAATCTATTTTTCCTTTTGTTGCTTGTGCTTTTGGCATCATATTTGAGAAAGCATTGTGAAATTCAAGGTCATGAAGATTTACCTTATGTTGTTTTCTAAGAGTTTTTATGGTTTTAGCTCTTATATTTAGGTCTTTGGTCCATGTTGACAGGCTAATTTTAAGCAGGTCATGGATAGGGGTTGGAATAAATGATGGAAGTATGGGTTCTAATGTTCTTATTTTGGTGCTACTAAAATGAAATTTTCAGTCCACTTGACAGTGGTACTTGATTTCTGTATTTTTCCTTTAGCTAAGACCGTCAGCTCCAGCGTCCAGCAATATGACCTTGAATCTCTGACACGAAAGACCTCTTATACTGTTCGTGTCATGGCCAGCACCAGAGCTGGGGGGAAAAATGGGACGGAGATAAACTTCAGGACATCTTCCCTCAGTGAGTATCCTTCTTAGCATTTATGGTAGGTTATTTAGAAGTAGCATTTTCCAAAGGGAAGGGAAGTCAGATGAAAGGACAGTACCTAAGTGAGAAGAACCATCTGTTCTCTGGTTCATTTGCCTTCTTGGCAGGCATATAGGTCAAGAGAGAGATGGGGGGCAGGCAAATTGAGAGTTGAATTTAGAAAGACCAGTTATCTGTTCCTTCCCATGGGCAGCCCCGATCACCTCCAGGAGAAGTGATAAATTTAATACCAACTTCAGTCTGAGCATCATACCAGCTCCTATGACAATCCTGTCCTCAAGGTCATGGTCCTCAGTTTCTGAACGTGAGAAGTTACTGCACAGTAGGGCTTTGGAGAGAAAACCTTGGTTGATTAAGAACCACTGACTCACAAGAAAGAATTTAATTTTAGCCTTTGTGAAATTTTTTGAGCAAGAAAGTATATAATTTGCTCACCTTACCAGATTTTACATCTAAAATAGAGAAGAAGAATTTAATAAATATAACAAATAATGTATCTTCATGTGATGGCTTATTAATGCAGATGTTCAAGAGGGACAGGGAGGAGACAAAGTAAGGAGGGAGATGAAGGAGAAGAAGGAACTGTTAATTTCACCAAGTCCTTGAGTGACACAGATTAGATTTTTAAGAACATATTAAAACTTTAAGGAATGAACAATCTTTTAGATTAAAAATGAGGAATCTTACAAAGTTTTGCAATAATTTGTGTAAGCTAAAAATTGTCTGCTTGAAGTTTTTTTGGAAGTCTCTTGTTGTTTACATTCTTAGAAGATAAAATAGGACTCTGGAAAATGTAGCATGTGTCTTTACAAAGAAAACATGTTCTGTTTCATGGACTAACTTTGCCTTCTTGGAACTCTTCTTGATATTGCTGCATAAGAGCATTTAAAAACCCATGTTGTATTTTCAAAACACTAGGCACAAAATTGTATCTGCTCATGGAATTTTCTCCAAGGTTCAAACTGAAGGCAAGATTCTGTCTTGAAGCCTAGAAGTTCCTTAGTCTGTGGATTATAAAGCACCCCACTTCCATCTTTGACCCTCTACAATCTATTCTCTACACAGCAGCCATAGTTCCCAGGTTTACAGTCCCTGCTTAAAACCCACCAGCTCCTGCTCTTGTATTTTTAAAAAATATTTATTTATTTTTTTAGTTTTAGGTGGACACAATATATTTATTTTATTTTTCTGTGGTGCTGAGGATTAAACCCAGTGCCTCATGCATGCTAGGCAAGCACTCTACTACTGAGCCACAGCCCCAGCTCCTGCCCTTCTATTTTAAATGAAATCCAAACTCCTCCCCATGGCTTTCAGAGTTCCTCATCATCTGTCCCATGCTGATCTCACTTTCTGTCACTTCTGCTTCTGTGTTCTCTGATTTGTTCCTGCTTCAAAGCTTTTGTTCCTCCCAGGAATGCGTTTCTCTATACTTCCGCATGGCAGGTCCCTCTCATTGTTAAGGTCAGCTCACATGTGGCTTCTTCCTTGGTCACCCTATCTGATGTTTCTGTCCTGCTTTCCACCTTATCCTAGTTACTCTATTACTCTGTTTTATCCGAATCAGTCTTGTTATTTATTGTCTTAATCCAGGTATGGGAACATAGACTCCCTGAGAGGAGGCATCTTCTATTTCTTGCTTATTGTGTTTGTTTTATTACTCACAATGGTGTTTGGTAAATGACAGAGGCTCAGTAAATATTTGTTGAGTGAATGAAGTTGGATGATGGCTTTGGTAAGCTCAATGTCTATCAAATACAATGTTAATAATTAAGCTAATGTCAACCTCAGTTACCAACCATAGATTGTGTCCAAATCATCCACAAACTTTTTGTACATTATACACTTGACTAATTT